TCCTGGCATCGCTACTAGGAGCAAGGACGCTACTAGGGGCTCCTGGCCTTACTACTAGGAACAAGGTGACGCCCCTCTGAGCTCCGTTACGACCGGAGAACTGCCTTGCCATGGAGCCACTGGCCGTTCACCAAGACCAACACCCGGACCCCTACACCATAGCCACGACGACCTGCGCAGGCGTGTTGGGTTCGGGGTTCATGAGGGTCCGCAAAACGATGTGTTCTTTTTTCCGCAGTACTGAATGACACTCCAATATCCATTGTTGGGATATGTTGGACTGAATGACTTAAACGTGTTAGCCTCTGGTCACGAGTCATCACTAGTCAAACGTCTCTAAATCCTTCTAGCCTGCTTTCTATGGACAAGCTCTGATTGCCAGTTGCAGCAGCAGCATACACACCAATCAGTGAAGGTCTATCTGGTCTATCTGCATGATGCCACCCCAGCAGCCTGCAATGTCTGCAGCCATCTCTGGGCTAAGCATCTTCTGTTGTGGTGGCCCCGACGGCAACTTTGGCCGCTCCTGCAGTCAATGATCCGACACTCAAAGACCTGAAATTGGTATCAACATTCTAGGATGCAAAGGAGTGAACAAATATATATATTACAATATTACAGTATATATTACAAAATGAGTTACAAAATGTTCTTTTCCTGGCCACTTTGTGTATCCTGTGAAGCTGGAATCAGTCTTTCCACAAAGGAAAGGTGTTTAAACTGGCTCTTGGCTTTGCCAAGTGCTGGAGCATTTACGTTGATGAGCCCAAGGAACCTTGCAAGTAACATCCTGCTTGCCTGCACTAGGCATAAGCATTATGAGCTGCAAGAAGGATGTTTCGTCAAAACAGTTTCCACTGTCCACTTTCTACCCCACTTGTGCCTGCCACAACACATTGGGCAAGACCTGTTCATCTGCCAGGCAGAGCAGGTCTTTGCCTTGGACGATTGGACCAATGTTCACAAGATCTCAGAAGCAAAATCCAATGTTTCTCCAACATAGAACCCATGCTCCAGCATGTTCCCACCATGAAACCGTTGCCAACACCCTTTAGTCATTCTTTTCCAACTCACATCTTCTTCGTCGTTCTGGGGGCCACCCTATAGAGGCACCACCTTTCGGACAGGTCGCGCTATTGGGCCCTATTGGACAGGAGCGAACACATCGATCACTAACATCTGAGTGTCCCCAACAGATCTGGAAACAGCTCGCCCGGAGCCCCGGTGCTTGACCAAGCATTCGGCCTGCCAGGTGACCCATCAATGTCCGCACATCCATCGGCACTTCTTGAAAAAGTGTTGTGGAAAGGATCCCAAGAGTGTAGAAAAGGCTGAGTCCGATTCAAACCGTCTAATCTCAAGTAAATATGAAAATCGGCATGTGAAGTGGCAAGGATGAACTGAGGGCTTGGGAATAAGGCCAGCCTCATACCTCTGTCATCCTCTGCCCACGTCAGTCTGTTGGTTGGTGAATTCATTGCCAAACAGCGATGGCGTCAATCCCAACGTTGCAGCCGCCTATTCAATAATTTCGACGTGGCTCGGAAACATATAGACCCAAAATAAATGTCCACAAAAAATGAATCAACGCCCACATGCCTGAAATGCTGTGATTCAGATACATCTAACGACCAGAACACGCCAGGATGCGAGATCGGAACCAGAGTTTCCAGAGTCCGGTTTCTCCCCCCGCCCCGTTCACGGCGAGATCGGAACGCGGGGGTGATGAGGTGCGGAGAACGTCGGATGTCACGTCGTTCCGTGCCTTGCAATTCTTTCAGTTCTCGGCTGAAGCGATGCGGCGTGGATCCGTCGGGCCAACGCTTTCGCATCTTCTCGTGGTTCCCCGGCATCGCCTCGTGGAGGCGATACGGAGGCGGTGCGGGTTGTGGAGTGGAAGAAGACATATTTGCTTGGCATATGCAGAATATCCACTTAGGATTCGTGGGGCATTGGAAATGAAAGTGTCTTTTGCTGGCCTTGGCCATTGTCCGATGACGGAATGAAAAAAAACTGCACGAGCTGTGCTTCAGAGCAGCCGGCGCGTTCAAGTGCAGGGCTGGTCAAAATGGTAGGGTAGGGCCATGTCCTAACTTTCTTATGCTGTCTGGCCTTTGTGTTCCTCGCTAGTTCCGGCTTTCAAGCTGCATGGAACTGAGCGGACTTCTGCGGTCAGCAGTCCGAACCGCACGCAGGGGGATCAATTCTTTCAAACATCTGTTGGTCCGTTTAATGTAGACTCATGATTTCATGAAACCCCGTGTCCGTTCTATCTGCGTTCAGTATGCTGCGTTTTCTTTGGGCACCTTAGCATACCAGCTGCAACAGAACTCCTTGTCCATCATGTCCTTGGGTTCACGCAGTGCCAAATCAGCACGGCTTGCAGTGCCATAGAGATGATCTTGGTGAGTGGGTGACAAGTCAAACGTCACCAATGTTAAGAATAGAAGTCTTCCGGAGATTCTTCAAAAGAGAAACATGATACCTGAGGCGCAGGCAGTGAGGATACACCCCAATGAGTAGACATCTGCAGGAAAGTCATATGGAAGACGTGGATCCTCCGGGCGCGATACTTTGCGCCAACCGGCCATCTGCTGAGGAGCAGGAATACGTTCGCAGAGAACCCTTGCATCAAAAAGGTGCAAAGAGAAACCTGAGAAAAAGGGAAAAAGAGCCCATAAATCTAAAAGACGATGAACTTACGATATCTGACGAGCCCATGCAGCCAAAGCTGCCCGCCAAGCAACATTGCCTCCTGCGGCGCTGTCCTTCCTGTAAAGAGTAAGACTTACAGTAAGACTGAGTAAGAAAGGACAACACAACAACCAGAATCAGAACACACCAAATCCAAGCCAAGACCCCTTAAACTTAACCAAACCCCGCACAGCCCATGCTCTTGCAGGATTCCCTCAGAAACCTCCTTTGGACAGGATCCATCCTGGATTTCAGGCGCCATGTACGTTGGAGTGCCGGCCACCGTCATGGCAACCTCCGATGCCCTGAGAGAACGAGAAGGAAAAGTTATCTGGGACGAAGCAGGACAATGTGAGGGACATGTGACTGATTCGGTCAATTGTCAGGAAAAATGAAAAACACAATGTGGACTTCCCTTCACTGCTTTGTTCAGAGCTGCACATCAGACCAAAGAGTTCATGGGTAGTTGGTTTGAATCCCAGTGTCCGCCACTGGCCGCTTCGAGAGGAGTGCATAGTGCAGGGTTCGGGTGCTGTGTACCACGACCCAGTCATTCGCCTTCCAACTCTCCTCGATTTGGCTGCTCTACCCGGCTGACCACCCCGGTCGCCCAAATCGGCCTCAAAGATCGGGATAAACCGAAGTCAGCCACCTGGCAGCTTGGTGGGTTCATGTCATCGAACAAGAGTTACATGCATGTTGGGTTCGTCTGTGCGGCAAAATGTGAAAACAAAAGTTGCATGCATGTTGGAACAAAACGTTTGCCGGGGATTTTTTGAAAGCAAGGTTGGATCGATAAACATGCATTCACATGAGAAAGTAGGTTTGGAATCAAAGGCGTACATCACAAAAGCCCAGCATCTTCAATCTGTTAAACCTTGGGAGCGGACTGGCAAATCCCAAACTTATGTCATAGTATTTGCCAGCTACCAGTAAATACAGAAAAGGACAATCCAAGAATGCAACCATCTTTTGACAGTGATTCATTGCTCTAATTCTGGGTGATGGACATTATGGGCGTCTCTCTTCGACCAAGCATGCTGGCCACGAAACAATTTTGAGGAATCCTGACCTTGGGAAATCGGTCTCCTTGGCGCAAAAGGATGTTTTCCTTGGTGAGGTCGGTGTCGCAGGCTGTGTCGGATGTGTCGGTACGAAGTTTTCGGGGGAGCTGTGTCGAATCACCTCAAAGCAGGTACCAAGTTGCATCTCTTTTGTGCCTTCAATCGGGATGGATGAGATGTGAGGCCTGAAAACGTGATCCTTTGCTGTCTTGCTTATGTCGTTGCACCGTCTTGACATCCTTCCTTCCACCCGTTCGCAAAGAAAAACAAAAAAACTCCTAACGCAAGGTATACGAGTATACCGTATCCCACGCCTCTGCCTGGCCAAACTTCTAAACCATTCCAAATCGTACAGAACACACTTTCATACACTTTCCATCCACAGGCTGCAGGCTGGAGGAATGAACCCTTCTCTCTCTCTCTCTGTTTGGTCTACCTAGCCAACAGCTCTCCTCTCTCTGCGTGGCTGCCGGGCATTGCCCAAGTGGCCGGCTTCAAATCCCGGTGCACCACCCCCATCTCATGCGCATGGGCCAAGGCCTCGGAGTCAGAGACCGACGCTTCACCGGTGAACACCGGTCGTTCGAACGAAAGGCCACGAACCGAAAGTTGGTGTTTCATCAAGTGTGGCTTCCCATAGGGGTTCTGGAACCCAAACAATGATAGCATCTAGATCGTAGAGATGGCCGCCAGCGCAAGGCCGCGGTGTTTTTATTGAGCCTGTTGGATCGTACGCAAAAGTGGGTAAGTCTCCTTGAACTTTGCAAAAGCGGGTTTGACGTGCTGGAGGCAGTTGCCAGCTTTCCATGCAAATTCGTATGGATCCTCCCCTGACATGTCCGCGGAGCTTCTAAACGACGCCTAAGTTACTAAGCTCCAGGCGCAAGAGATGTGGAAAACCATTGGGCGAACCAAGCCTTCCTGGTTGCGGCATGGATTGGGCGAACTAAACCCTGGCAGATCTCAGGTTAAGGTGCCCTCCTTTGGACCAGAATTCACTAGCACTCCAGGCTGAAGAATGTGCAAGTTCTTGGAATCCAAAAAAATTGTCGATTCCCCAAAATAGTGAATAGTATGGATCAAACCGACAAAAGAGATTCCCAATGATCAACTTCCCGCCACTTTGAGCCACGCGGCGACCTGCCCAAAATCCACGATCACCCGAAGCAACACAAAAAAAAAAAAAAACACGCATCGTCAAGTTTGACAAGTGCCAGAGAACAGTCTGTCTGGTCCTCATAGACTTGGTTCTTTTGGAACTTTCGGACAACAAAAACAATTGAAGATCCTTTCAATATTAGTAGCTTCTTGCTCCTGGTAGCGATGCCCTTTGTTCCTAGTAGCTTCTTGTTACTAGTAGCGATGCCAGGAGCTACTAGTAGCTTCTTGCTCCTAATACTTTGATAGTAAAATATAATATATACAGTATATATATATATAAAGTCAAAGTCTGGTCCTCATAGACGTGAGGTTCCCCAGTGAGGGAGCTCAAGAGATCACCTCCTGTGACCAGCTCCATAGCCTCGTTGCGTCTTCGAAACAGCCGAGTGATGACTTGTCCAAGAGATCGAGTTCTTTGGGACGGAGATGTCTGTCTTAGATGAAGGTGGCTGATAAAGAATTTCTTCACAATCGAGTGGTCATTCTTCGATCCACATCATATTCATTTGGGGTGCTGTTTGAGGCAAATACAAGCAATTTCAAAACATGCAGCCAACATCGACATACAAAAAAATTGGAAACCTATCATGGTTGGGCAGGCAGCAGCCTTGGAACAAACCGAAGGATACATTGATTGGCTGGCTTGGATGAACTGCGCTTCTTTGAGAAGTGCACGTGACCTTGTGGGCAACCATTATGGAACTTATCTGTCATGTGCATGGTGGTGAGGGCACTCCGGCGATTGCGTTAAAAGGCTTGCTGTGCACCCGGATGGGTGCATGGCGGGGACGATCCAGTGCAGCGTTGCTGGCTGGGTCAGTGGAAGGTGCTGAACTACATGCACAGTACAGGTCGAGGGAGCTGTGCATGCAGTGCCTTTGGTTCCTGGTAGGAATCTGCCTGTTTGGTATTTATATACCTGTTTTGGTACTTGGTACTTGCTCTTCCGGCGAGCGTGTGGAGTGATGGAGTTTGTCCTCGGTTTGTTGTGATGTCAGTGAGGCGATGGAGTTTGCAGTCGGTTCCTTGTGATTCATGTGATGATTCTGCTTGCGACGCGTGTCACTCTCTCACCCTCTCTCCTTCAGCCTTTCTCAGCTTACCTACATTTCATTCATGAGTTCACTTCCAAACATCAGGTGACATTGCAATCGAAAGAGTGTGTGCCATGTGTTTGTCTGACAGTATACAATATAATTACACAGGAAACAAAATCCCCCGTGAAATCAGTTGAATAATATAACGCCTTTGTCAACTCTACGAGCTATACGCGCACAGGTGGCAGCATGTGGCTTGAGACAAACGGACGCAACCATGTTGGAGTTTGTAAAAAGGTCTCAGGCGGCTGCAATGATCATCCAGTCGCTGTCCTTGTCGACAAAGGCATCATAGAATTGAACCTGAGCATGTTGCAATCATTTTAAAGCGAGCTAACGCATGGGCAAAACAGGCTGTGCAAAATTCTTGCCACGGTCCAAATCATATGAATTCACACCTCTTCTTGTAGGGCACCCACGATGCTCGGATGATCCAACATCTTGAGGATGTTGATCTCCTGCAGGGCAAAGAACCACAAGAGCCAACAATAGTTTAAAGGTCAGTTCCTCTGAAGCATTGAATCGTTAGCACCGACCCATGCAAAGCTCATCAACCGCCCAACAGAAAGCGTCTCCATCCATCTATCCGCGCCCATCTTCTCCACTGCAAATCGGGTATCCATCCTGTTCTGAACGGTGTTTGCATCCCTCCTGCTCCAGCATCGGTTGTGTCGCTGAAGCATTCTCTGAGACCTTCAGAGCCACATCCTCACACTGCGGCCGAGTCAGGTATTTCGCATTCAGCCATGTTTTTCTTTCCCGGCAAATGCTTTACAGGCGTGCAAGAGGAGTCTTAAGTGTTTCACGTTGTTTCGCTTGAATTGTTTTATTTCCATGTACATTCGTTCAGCTCCATGGTCTTTGTTGTGCTTACAAGCACGCCATGTGAACATGCAAAGAACTATTCAGAGAACTACCGGTGTCATGTTGCCGAATCTGGTGCCCACAAGCAGGCCTTCCCATCGCGCTTGCGCCCTTTGTAAACAACACCAAAAGCACCTGTCACGATAAGTTGGGGTGAGAGAGAGGGCAAAGACACAAAGCTGCCAAATGTCTTTAGCATGAAAATGGCAGTGTCCGATTGGCATGTGAACTGACATGAATCTGGCCAGCAATCTGGGCCAATAGTAAAATGCTAAAATTGGACGAAAAAGGTACGGGACTACCGAAACGCCCGACAAGTGCCTTACTACTAGGAACAAGAAGCCACTACAGGCTCCTGGCATCGCTACTAGGAGCAAGGACGCTACTAGGAACACCACGCTCGGCGCTGCGCACGGCAGGCCTTTCCCCAGGGCGCCCGCTGGGAGCCCCTTCCGCTTAGGGGGGAGCTCCCTGTCCACGTGATAGCCTCGAGGGAAGAGCAGCTGATCCTCAGCACTTTTCGACCGGCGTGTCATTGACCCCCACCTCCTATGGATTTCTATTGGATTGGATCCTATTGCTCTTCAAAATCCCACAAAAATCAACATAGCCACATGGATCCAGTGGCTGCTTCGTCATGTTTGTGTCACTAGCTCAAGGGTTCGAAGAAGTGTTTGCGACAAACGTGACAAACTTCTTTTGCAGAACTCTGCCACGCAACACAGTGAAAGACTGTCCAGATTCCCTAAGGCCAACGAAAGAAGTCTGAAGATTTGACTCGGACATACTGCGCACAGGTTGGTCCACCAACTGGACTCTGCCCGTGTGAGATTTGCCTGAGGATTCTGCCAAGTGCTCATCAGTGGCCACTACCTTCCTCGACCGCGTGGGCAAGATGAGGGCCTTGCAGGCCAGGGAAGGATGTCGGATGACACAGAGTTAGTGGCTAAAAAAAGAAACTCACCAAAGCCCATCGGCTTATTTTGAGTATATTATGGATTAATAGATGGACTCTGAATCTCATCGCGACTTGCTGAGGACCGCCATCAAGATGGACCTCATTTTCACGTGATCTAAGTGAGATCGGTGCATTGATGGATTAGGATGACTAGGGGCCGGGCCTCATTGATCTTTGGGTCGATCTTGGTCTGGTAGTTTTGGTCCTCCTCCTCACGCAGGGCTTGTGCATCATCTGTGTCCGAATCAGAGAGCATCTGCTGTGAGCTGGTAGCTCTCCCCCTCCCTGCCCTTCAGAAACATCTCTGGATGCCAGAGAGAGCGAGAGAGGTTAGTTTGCCCTACTTAGAGGCAGCGCTAGCCGCTAAAGTAAGTATTAATTGAACTTCGCAAATCTTCCACAATTCAGTCTCAGTACAACCCAACTGTGACACATAGTGAAATAGTGCCACATAACTAACAGGCCAGGCTCTGCAGGCTCTGCACATATGGACCCGCCCATGCAGTACATGCATCAATACAAAAATGGCAAATGAATCGGTTCGCAATTTCACCGGTTCGCACATCGCCACACGGTGGCCTTCTTCAATTCGCGCACATCGTGTGTCTGGTAGTTGACATTGAAGGACTCCTGTGCGACGAAAACGACTTCGGGCCGTGCAGGACGGTCCGAAGTCGAGGGACTTCGGGCCGTGAACAGGCGGTATGCCAAGCGGTACGTCAAACGCACAGTGAAACTGTATGTTTTGGCCCGCCCTCACTTAATTATACAAATAGGTGCCTACTTAATTAAGGAAGGGACAAACTTGTACGCTCCTAGCTACTGAGAAGCTACTACCTACCGGACGCAAGATAGCTCGCGCTCGCACTAATGATTTTGGTTTCTCGATGTTTGGGTAAACTTAATGGGACTGGTACAACAGTATGGAGATTCCCCACAAGACGCACAGTAGGAATCTGTGTAGATACCGGTAATTTTCCACAGTACCTTGACTGATATTGTAGAACAGTTGTATGTTGTTACATGCATACAAAAAGAGAACAATGACGCTGCTTCGAACAACCCAATAAAGGGAAGGCGCGAAAGTATCCGTGAAATTCACCTAGTAAGTGACAAGTCTGAAGCCAGAAAGGGTGTACCTATGTCAAAGGTCGTGCCAGTAGGGCTGACATACACCGGATTCTTCCTGAGCAAGGAGAAGATTCCCACATACTCCTACCCTGTTTTGGGCCGGAGCCCATGGGGCAAGTAATTGAATGTCACCACAGGACCTGGGACTTGTTGCTGGGATTCTGATGGCTGCCAAAGGAAGAGTTGCTTGCAAACAGGTGGGTGCGTCACATGTGGGTGTGACAAATGGCAGGCCTTTTGTCTTTGGCCCACGCCTGCACCTAGCTAGTTCAACCTGCAAAGAACAGATCTCTTCAAATCGAATAAATATAATATAATATAATGGAATGTCTAGGACTCCTGTGAAACCGATTGGATGCTGATGCCTGAATATCCGGCTAGATGTTTTGAAGATCGTGGAGCTTTTGGGGATAGGATCAAGATCTAACTATCAAACCTTCATTAGCCAGACTTGATCTCTTGGTCTCTTCCCCATATCCCTACAGTCGAAGGGTTGATATTGGTCTAGCAATCGCTTTTAGGTTGGAGGCCATCGCTCTTAGGTTGGAGGCCATCGCCATTAGAGTTGATTGGATCTATTAATTATTGGTCTCTTTTCTTCGACTTGGTCTGCGACGATCGGCGCACCTTGGTCAGCTCTGCATCCGAGTGCAGTGACGGCGCACTGGTGATGGTCATCGAGGGCGGGCCCACCACACTCGCAGGCGCCAGTTCTGATCAACAGTTGGGCGATGGAGCAATTGCGGAGATGTTGGATCAACATCCGTGCTGATGGTAGAAATTTATTTACCTGGAACATCCCTGCTACATCCAGCTCCATATCAAATCCTGAATATTAAATTTGTTGGATTCCGTCGCCCTGGCGTTCTCATCGGTCACAACCCGGTCGACGGTTTTTGCCACCGAGGCCGAGGCCTTGCTCAGAGACACTGACTTCGCCTCTGAAGTGTCTGGAAGCAAAGACATGGCGGTGATACAGCAAGATTAAGGGTGAGTCAAATATATTACTATATATATATATATGCATAAACATGTAGACTAATGGTGGAATGTCATAAAGCTATCTCAAGTAAAGAAAAGGATATCTGTTTGGAAACCTTTATGTTTGGAAAAGGCCTGAACACAGTGCCCTTTATAGAATCTGGAAATCACATGAAATCATCATACAAATTCCACTTTGCTGCATTGAAACCATCACCACTTCTTGGTGCTTTCTCCATACCATTGTGTTCCAATAATGTGCATGATTAGGGCATCAAAAGGGCGGGCAATACCTCTCTTTACTTCAAGGAGACCACGGGAAACCTTGTGGCTCGTTCTCTTGTCACCGAGCATCTCCTGAACAGAGTCTTATGCAAATTCTTCAAGGGACCTATAGGACCGTGCTTGGATCAGCAAGTGCAATGAACCAGCAGGGGTGCTCAATTTTTGTTTGAGCGATATACTTTCTGCAGTCACCGAGTTCTGCAAGTATGTTTCACCCCAAAGAACACACAAGTCACCCAAGGGTCCTGCAACGGAAAACTTGCAAAACTGGCTTAGAATACTCCCCGCGCGCCTGCGCCTGCATTTTCCGGTGAGGGGGCAAAGTCCGTTCCACCTGTCACACAAAATGTAATTAGTCCCAAAAAAGAACCTGACAAAACACCATGCAATGTACCATGTATCTAGGCATTGCTGGATATTGCATCCTTAATGAGTGCTTCAAATGGCATGCAAATGGGGTTCAACAATGGATAAGGTACGGGAAAGCCATGCAAACGAAGTTCACCCTGGAAAGCCGTGCTCGCCAGCAAATTCACACCCTCACTAGGTCAATTGATAGAGCAGCCCAAACCTGTGGGCCAGAACACAAAGAGGAACAAAGAAACACAGGTCCTTTGAATCAAACCCTTTGAGCTTTCACACCCAAATCCTTTCTTGCGAACAACGCTTGCTCGTACCTCCAACTCTCCTGGCCTGAACAATGACTCTCATCTGTAGTCTGTGCAACACCTTGCGAGCCACTGGTCTGTGGCGGCTGAGCTGATTGGCCGGGCTCAGCGTCCGAGTCAGACTCATACTCACTGGAGGACTCGGCGTCCTCGGCCGGGTCCGGGGGTCCCGCAGGATGGGGCGCCGCGATGTTCGATGCCAAGGTGATGCTGTGCTCAGGGGGTAGGGGATGTGGAGTTGCCATCATGGGCATCTGCATCAACCTGCCCGGAGGCCCGGAAGGAGGCAGGATATGTGCAGCTGAGCCTGCACCAAATGCAGGTGCTGCAACACCATTGGCTGCATAGAAGGTAAATTGAGCCTGTCCCTGAACCTGGGGTGCTTGGGCTTGCGACGCTTGTGGCGCCGCATAGGCCTGGCCATTCAATGTCTGGTATCCCACAGAGTGGATATAGGTCTGCCGCTGCGGCTGTGGCTGTCCGTACTGCATCGTGGCGGCATGGTGTAAGGGATGCATGGCTCACACGGGTCGGCAGGCCAGTGTCCCCTCAGCGGCCAGTGTCATGTCTTTCTGCGGCTCAAACTTTTGCCTTTATCAAGTGATGCAAAAGCCATCTCCCAGATTGACGTCAGTATGTGTGTATATATATATAATATTATACATGTATCTCAGTGTCTCAGCATCTGCTCTTTGAACCCAAATATCAAGGTGATTCATCCAATACCCTGTTGAAGGCAGCAATCCAAATGGAACGAGGCCTTTAGCACATCAGCTAGTGTTGCGCACTAGAAAAACGGTTGACAATCCTTCCGTGCGGTGCAATGCGGATCCCTGGACCGCTGGGCAAACGGAAGCACCTCAACCGCTGTTGGACTCCTGGTGATGCATGACCGTCCCATATTATTGTGCCCAAGTGACTAATCTGCCTGCGTTGCCCATGATCCTACTTCAGCCATGTCAACAGGCTTGCAGCAAGGGCTCAAAGTTAAGAAAGCACTGTTTGCAATAAGATCGGGGGTTGGCAGGCCTAGGTACAAAGCCAACATCCCAACCAACTCCAAGTCTCATCTCCCTTTTTTCGACATTGCTGGAAATCTTGGAAACCCCATGTGTCCGCCTTTGTGTGTAGTCTTCCAGTCATTTCCGGTCTCCCTCCAGGAACACACCCATCCGGCGCACGCTAATGGAGCCGTGCGTTGGATGGACAAGCCAAGGTCCTTCGAGGTAGCACGAGACCTGGGCGTCGTTCGAGGAGAACTTGCACAAAACAAAACATGCTGATCAAGGTGGAACGCCAACCAAATAGAGATGGCCCCCAACCTAGTAGCGATGGCCTCCACCCTTAATAGGTGCAACCGGCTGACACTTGGAATCCCTTCTCCTGCTACGTTCAGTTTTCTGGAATGTCACAGAGATTCTCCGAGATTTCGGTTGATTGGATGAAATCCAGACCTCTCTCTTCATCAATTCATACATTCTTCCAACCACCCATGCCTCATCGCCTAAGTGATCCTAAGTCTTAAGTAAGTTTGATTGTCTCTTGGTACGAAGAGAGATCCAATTATATAAGCTCTTTGCGTCCCTGCTAAGCCGTCACACGAATGCTTTTCATATTAGCCTCCGATACCTACAATTGTGGCATTGTGCCCACACTGAAGGGCGATTAGATTCGTCTCCCACTACAAATCTTTGAGCAAACCAGCATTCATGAACGTAAAGAGCAACGTTCAACACAACCGCCTACGCGATGTCTCAACTGGAATGGCGGTGCTTTTCACACGTCCGGTGCACTTTCTATTCCTTGGCTGCCCTGCCACATCCGTCTAGCTTTTGACGCCTTGTCCAAGGGCACATGTTGTTGCGCCATGCTCGTTAGGTTCACCTGGCCCTGGCAGCTTCGCAAAATTGAATAGTTCTTTTAAACATGCAGCAAATAGAACAAACAAAAAATATATATTATATATATATATATATCACTTATATTGTGGCACGGAGTCTTTCAAAAGATTACCAGAGGCCACCCACATTCGAACATCGCACGGTAAACCAGCCTGGAACAGCGTGGTTCCAGATCTACGGCCTCACTTCGCAAGAATCGAACCGTGCCACGTTCGAGCAAGAACGAACGTCGATGAACAGCGTTTCTGCCACGGTTTGCGATCTGTTGCTGTCCAGTGAAGACCAACGCCGATCGCCTGATGATCACAGTGACGAGTCGGAACTCCGGACCCTCCGAATCCGGTTTCGAGTTCCGCACCGGTGGACAGCTCAGTAACTGTGCTGGTCAAAGGAGTGCCTGAAATTAAGACATGACGTTCGACACGGAGGTGGGTGACGGGTGGGAAGCATATGTGAAGATGGTTCCTCGTTTGAGTCTGGATCAAGGTAATGGTTCCTATCTTTCTATCTAGAATCAAGAGCAGAAGTTAGAAGCATATCTTGGGTGTGTCCCATTCCCTGCAACAGTGGATGATGATGGTTGGTAAAGGCCTTTCTCAAAAATAGTGATAATCTTTTATTGACTGTTACAGGTCATGGGAAACACACACACAGCATGTCCATGCATATCCTAGTTATCCCCGTATCGTTTCCCCAATGGGCAGAACTGTCTGTAGGGTTTTGCTTGAGGAAAAGATGGGCACCGTATTCTTGGCTGTTTGCTTCGTCTCTCAAGTGTAGAGAGCAAGTAGCAATGGCCTCCAACCTACTAGCGATGGCCTCCAACATAGTTGCAAAATATGTTGTGGCTTCTTCTGGATTCAGAGGTGCTTCAATACTGCAGCTACCACATTGCCATAGAAAATCAAAAAAGTGTTCAGTGGCGACGAGTGGTGAGACACAAAATAATCCCTCATTGAGGATAACCCTCCAATTCACACCAACCTGGCATGAAATTACAGCTCAAATGTTCCTCTGATGTGTTCAATTGGTATATAAGGACGCTATAGGGGCTCCTGGCCTTACTACTAGGAGCAAGGGCATCGCTACTACTGTCTGATGTGTGTTTTCCATCCCGAAACGCTTTGGGCGCGTGCAACACGCCCGTGCTCACTCCGGCCTCCGGGCGGAGAATCCCAAAGGAGTCCGCACAGCCTCGGAGAGTCCGAAGGGGTGAAACATGACTCAAGACTGACGTGATGCATAACTATGTTTGTTGTATTTCTATTCCACCCTTTTCACTCACAATTGGCCGCTACTAACTATGATTAATGGAGAGTCTAAACTTTACCAGTACTAAGATTACTTTTTGCAGTCCTTTGGACTGAGAGCTAAAGGCCCAGTCGACGACAGCGCTGATTTTGAGGTGCAAACTCGGGAACTACAACGGAGTCACTCTCGTTCAACGAAAAGCCAGCAAACCTGCCACCAGCAACTTCAAGAAAGAAGAAGAAGAAGAAAACCAACCCAAACGATCTGAATTACCAAATTGACCACGCATACCCTCCAAAAGCACTGCCTCAGCTTCTGCCTTTTCCAATGCTTCTTAAAGGTGCATCAAGTCTTATGCTCCGCTGGGCTGACTTGAGTCATTGACTCATCACATGTCATGTCTCAAATTTCAAGCAGGTCGGGATGACGAGCCATCATGGAGAACCGCATAAATTCCAAGGAGGCCGTTACCTGGCACAGCTCCGGATGTGTATGGAGGGGAAGGAAGAGAGAGAGAGTGTGTGTGTGTGCGCGCGTGGGTGTGTGGGGGTGTAGTTGTGTGAGTGTGTGTGTGAGTGTGTGTGTGTGTGTGTGCGTGTGTGCGGGTGTGTGTGTGTGTGCGTGCCATGACTCAAGCTGCTTAAGCTTCTGTTTCAGAGTGAAAGCCAACACCTTTAAAAGGGGCCCTCAAGCAGTGGGTGTTCATCTATATATGTATGTGGTTTCTAGACAGACAGGACACCAAAACTGAAGTCAACTTCACCCAAATCAACGAAAGATCTGCTAGAATGAGATGATCGGAAGTCCAAGCATGTCCAGGCATGTACAGGGGAGGCTGGGAAGAGCCTGAATCGCCCTGCTTTCTCATTGACTGCAGCAAAGAAACTGTACCACCTCCGAACACACTTCTCCAAGAAGCAACCAATCCACATCACAAGTCCCATCCAGTCATGGGCTCTACATCCTCTACATCCGCCTTGGCCAATAATATGTCATACTCTTGGGATCTCTTGGGTATACCGAATCTAACACCCAGACGTTGCATGACAGTACGACGGATACGATCGCCATCGCTCTTAGGTTGGAGGCCATCGCTCTTATAGGTTGGAGGCCATCGCTCTTAGATTGGAGGCCATCACTAGATGGTTGGAGGCCGTCCCTCGATGGTTGGAGGCCATCCGTCATAGGTTGGAGGCCGTCGCTCTTAGGTTGGAGACCATTGCTCTTAGGTAGGAGGCCAACGCTCTTAGGTTGGAGGCCATCGCTCTTAGGTTGGACGCCATCGCTCTTCAACTGGACGCCATGGCTCTTAGGTTGGAGGCCATCTTCAACTGGACGCCATGGCTCTTAGGTTGGAGGCCATGGCTCTTAGGTTGGAGGCCATCGCTCTTAGGTTGGAGGCCATCGCTAGTAGGTTGGAGGCCATCGCACTCAGGTTGGAGGCTGTCGCTCTTAGTAGGTTGGAGGCGATCGCTTTTAGGTTCGAGGCCATGGCTCTTAGGTTGGAGGCCGTCGCTCTTAGGTTGGGAGCCATCCCTGGTTGGTTGGAGGCCGTCGTTCTTAGGTTGGAGGCCATCGCTCTTAGGTTGGAGGTCATCGCTCTTAGGTTGGAGGCCATCGCTCTTAGTGTTGAGGCCATCGGTCTTCAACTGTTGGAGGATGTTGGAGGCCATGGCTCCTTGGTTGGAGGCCATCGCTCTTAGGTTGGAGGCCATCGCTCTTCAACTGGACACCATGGCTTCTAGGTTGGAGGCCATCGCTCTTAGGCTGGAGGCTATCCCTAGATGGTTGGAGGCCATTGCTCTTACGTTGGAGGCCGTCACTCTTAGGTTGGGGGCCATCGCTCTTAGGTTGGAGGCCATCGCTCTTAGGTTGGAGGCCATCGCTCTTAGGTTGGAGGCCGTCGCTCCTAGGTTGGAGGCCGTCGCTCTTAGGTTGGAGGCCATCGCTCTACAACTGGACGCCATCCATGGATCTTAGGTTGGAGGCCATCGCTCTTAGGTTGGAGGCCATCGCTCCTTGGCAGGAGGCCATCGCTCCTTGGTTGGAGGCCATCGCTCTTAGGTTGGAGGCCATCGCTCCTAGGTTGGAGGCCGTCGCTCTTAGGTTGGAGGCCATGGCTCTTAGGTTGGAGGCCATCGCTCTTAGGTTGGAGGCCATCGCTCTTAGGTTGGAGGCCATCGCTCTTAGGTTGGAGTCCATCGCTCTAGTTGGAGGCCATCGCTCTTAGGTTGGAGGCCGTCGCTCTTAAGTTGGAGGCCATCGCTAGTGGGTTGGAGGCCATCGCTAGTAGGCTGGAGGCCGTCGCTCTTCGGATGGGGGCCATCGCTCTTCAACTGGACGCCATGGCTCTTAGGTTGGAGGCC